TCTCTGTGAATTACATAATTTATAAGTATTGTACAGCCTGTGATCTCCACCTGGCTGGCCACTGATACCTAAGTAGCTTTCATGTGTCCGGACACCGGCGATAGGATTGTATTATTTAACTTTAAAGAGAGAGATATTTCTTGAAATGTTGTCACATTAACGTCTACATCTTCCTTCCTTCTGACATATAGATTTTAAGGTTAATTAGCATATTTAATATTTATTTTATTTAATATTTAATATTAATATATGGAAATAAATTACACAATTTATAGGCTGGTGTGAAGGGCTTCACACTCTTAGAGCAAGCCATCAAGAAACTGTACAGTATCAGATGCATATATCTTCGCTTTCACTTCAGTTATATTTATGACAAGTATTTAAAGTGTAGCTTATATTTCTGCCTTTCTGTTGACATAGAAAACTTTCGTTTATTGCATTATCTAGATAAAATTAGCATTGATCTTCAAAAGGTTGTAGTTGTAACTTCCATTATAAACAACATTATTATTGCAAACAGTAGGAGTTTCAAAGTCTCATTTGTATGGATACCTTCTCATATAGGTGTTGTCCAGCATGATGACACAAACAAGGCAGCTAAAACTGAACGTGATAAGCCTGAAGTTGAGTGGGATGTGGGCATTCCAATCTCCTCTGTCAAAGCCGCAATATTTTAGGAAATTAGGGAAGATAGAAGAGCAGTCACTGACACACAAAAGCCAGAAAGCAAGAGTATAAAGAGCTATGACAAGTTTATGTGCCTCTGCAACCTTTTCCACTACCGCTCACAAGATGATATATGGGGTGCATAATTAATGAACTAAACTAAGTAAACATGTTTAGAATCGAGAATTATATGAACGGACAGCATAAAACTTCCACTAGTGTCACAATGACAGTGTGACATTGTAATTGCCAGAATTAGGCTAGGATATCGATATGTATCGCAGGTGGCTGCAGGTAATGAATAGCCCCCAATGGTGAATATTCCAATTGTAAACTATGTGAACAAGAGCTGGGACATACTCACCAACACTATATCTGTGATTGCCCTGTTATAAGTGACTTCAGACCAAATGGTATAAGGTACTTTGAACTCTGTAATTACTTCATACACTTAGGAATATTGGAAGATATTCTTATGCTGTACCCGGATTTTGCTAACGGAGGCTAATAGATCAGCCTTATATTTTATGTTCTCACCTGATTGTTACCTTGAGGTAGGCCCGTAAGTGGTAGTCCTCTTGAACCATTAACAGTATCAATAGATGATACTGGAGATCTGTGGAGGTGCGACTGGACCCTGCGTGACGGGAGATGTATCCCTTGTTTCTTGTGATTGATTGATGAGGATTAAGCCACCCAAAAGGTAGCACGGGCATGAATAGCCCGTAAGTGGTGTTCTTGTTAGTCACAGTTGATTTTTTTTTATTGAGGCTGGTATTTTATCCCCTGATTCCATGTATAACTAACCATCCTGTGAGATGGGAATATTTAATGAACTTATAGCTAGTTTTTGATATACACTGTGTAATCTTTCATATAGAATAGGGTAGCAGCACATTACTGTGTATACCTAAGCTTGTTAATAATAACAAAAAAAAAGTTAGTTTCTATCGATAGGGAGAGCGATGGTTCAAAAATCCTTCTTTAAAATATGAATATCTTTCCTATCTCACTAAGATCTAATCTCTGTGATTAAAATGCAAAATTGACTTTGTCACTGCCTTTTTGATAACGTATACAATCATAAGCTTATTTGTGAATCTCTATTAAACAGTAAATCAGAGAGCGTGTAAGGTTCCGTGTTCCATGTCCGAAGAAACAGGGAGATTTTACATAAATACAGTACATGATAGTTTAAGTAGCGAACGCATACCAACAAATAACGATTAGTATCTATAACAAAAATATTGTTCTATGGAGTTGATTTAACTTCCAACCATGTATTTTTAAATAATCTTTAACGTTTTCTGGCTAGTTATGTTAGATTTGATTAAAAATACGCATTCTACTTGTTAATATCGTTAGATTTGATTAAAAATACGCATTCTACTTGTTAACATCATAAATTAAATTTGCGATAATTTGAGCAGAGAAGTTCGACGACTGGATCACTGTGTACAGAAGGTTGATATGCCAGCAAACACTTTCCAGAGAGCAATATATCTTGGATAAGTCGCTCCACGATATTGTTGCTTGGACCATCGACTTCCTTTGATATTACATATTTACATCTTATTTTGTTATGAAATGATATTTTTTCAGAGTAAAATTATGTTTTCTCATTTTCTGCATCCAGCATCCACATTATAGTGAGTAAATATACCATATTACTTCATTGCTTACGTAATGCTAGGAAGGTTTGAGTAGCTTTGGGTCTTTAGTGGACAGAATCTCCAATAGATGGGGCGAGAGTCGCCCCATCTCTCTCGACCGGGCGGGACTCGAAACTTAAATTAAAATTGCTATATCATTGGTCTCCAACATGATATATTTCCTTTGATGCACTCACAATAACGATTATAGCTCTGTCTTTCTGGAGGCATGTAATATTTTAGGCTTTATTAGCGTATCTTTGTTAATTACACAACATATTGGCAAGTGCGTAGGCGTCTGCACTCCATGACCGAAAAGCTACTGAACGCCACTATAAAAACATATATATCTTCACTTGAGCTTTAAATATGTCTAATGTAATGTATTTAAAATAAAGCTTATATTTCTATCTTTCTTAAGACGTGTAAAACATTTGTGTTTATTAACGAATTTACGTAAAATAAACATTCTTCTGAGAGAGTTGCTCTGTCGCTCAGTCTATGCGGGGGTCGGAGCTCGGCGATTATTAAAATACATGAATCTTCATTAGAACTTTAATTATGTCTATGATAAAGTGTTTAAAATGAGCCTTATATTCCTATCTTTCTTGAGGCATATAAAAAATTTACGATTATTTACAAATTTACGTGAAATAAGCATTGTTCTGAGAGAGAGTTGCTCCGTCGATCGATCTGTCCGGAGTCGGAGCTCGGCTATTATAAAAGTACACGTATCTTCGCTTTAAATTTAAATATGCCCATGGTAAGGTATTTAGAACGAAGCTTATATATCTGTCTTTCTTGTGACATATAAAACTCTTACGTTTATTAAGGAATCTGCGTGAAATAGGCATGGTTCTGAGATGAATGCTGCGGTTTTCGAGTTTGACGAGCGATGAAAACTGCCACTTTTATACAACTACAAATATCTTCGGTTTTACTTAAAATATTTGTCTGGTAGAGGTTTTACATATAGATCGCGTTTCTGTCTTTCTTCTGACTAATAAATAATTTTGGTTTAATCAGTTATCAAGATGTTTTCAACAATATTCTTTCAGCGTTCGTCTTTTCCAACTTGGGCGACCCTTTTGGAAGCGCGATACTTGGGTTAACCCATCCTATAGTTGGGTCTGTTTCCAACTGGGGTTCGAATATATATACAGTAACCCCACAGTGTCACCAGTAACCCCACAGTGTCACCAGTAACCTCACAGTGTCACCAGTAACCTTACAGTGTTACCAGTAACACTGAGGTCACTGGTGACACTGTGGGGTTACTGGTGACACTATATAAATACTGATGAGAGCAAATCCTTTATTATCCTGTAATATCCAAAATTGAAAATTATTTTAGGCATTAACAAAATGACTTGCTTCCACTGTATAATACAGTAATATATTGAATAAATCCACAAGGGCCGTGATGAGGGTTCGAACCTACGTACGGTATGATCCCAAACGTGCCTTAGTCGACTGCGCCACGACATAGTAAAAGAATTGCAACCTGGAGGGGTACTGCCCTCACAATGCTCACCAGCTTCTCCGAAGCACAGACTGGGGAACACAATTGCCCCATTTCTCCGTGTAGTGTAGTGTAGAAATATATTGTAATATTAAATATCCAGTTTGTGGTTAAAACCTACTGTGCCCATTGTGATCCTTCTGTCTTTCAGCTCACATGAGTATGGGGCCACGCTGTTGGTGGCAACACTTAATGCAGATTAATGACAACTCTAAGGACATATCAAGCCCGTGTTCAGTATCTTCTGCATCGACAGAAGGAAACACATTGGTAAGGAGTCTGAGTGGAAGTTAAGTGGAGATCCTTGCTCAGATAAGTCGTTTGGAACATCTTGAGTTAGCGGATCACCTTTGGTTGTTGTTTCATAGTGGCTACTGCCGAGAAACTAGAGTAATGAACTCTGGTGCAATTGCAAGAGGATAAGGTTTTACTGTTAGTTATTATTACACTTCTAGCAAACTCAGATGAGGAGGCTTGTATGTGATCATGTGCAATTTTGTGAATGGAAGCTGGTCTGGTTGCTCTCCCGTCACGATGACCATCTCCAAAGCTCTGTAGTTTGAGTACACTCAAGCAATTATGACTAGTTATCTAATGCATATTTACTTGGTTGATTTGTTAAACTGTGAATATAGCACATAACCTACTTAGTTTTACTCAAGCCATTCCTGATGAGTATGACTTCGTCAATTATTACCACGGTGTTAAGTCACTTAGGGTGCACCATACTCCCAGGTAGAGAGAGCAGGTGCTGTGTCGTCCAGAGGGATCATCTGCGGTGAGGCCTGAGTAACGTCGGTGAGCTGAGTAAGTTAAAGCATTGTTTAAAGAAGAAAATTCAGCTGTAAGCCTGAATATTTTTGCCGACGAAGGGAGGTCATATAGCGTTGAGGCAGTTATTTAGCCGTGGGGAACATGGGCCCAACATTGTCCGATTCCTGTGTAGTTCTGTCTATAGTATCTGTACAAGGAGGTACACTTAAGAGGGTTGACAGTAGCCCAGCAGGGGTTTGCCAGGCTACTATGTGGGATGGAAGAGAGGTGCTTGGACAGTTCTCTTGGATGACTGTGCCATTCCTAAACAAGTCACACTTGGGCTTACAGGCACCTAACCAGATTATTCATACTATACCATATTAGAACTAGGGAAATGAAAGCCATTTTTTGCCTTCTAATTTTTACACCTCTTTATTTGCATCTATAAAATGATTGATAACAAAAATCATTTCCTTTGTACATGGCGCTATACAGACATTATGAGAACAGCTCGTCTCCCTACATACCTTCGGAATCATCATAAATTTTTTCAACACTATTACTTTTATAGTGTCTTTAAAACATGCTTGTGGGCCTTGGGCAAACACTTGTAGTTTATGATTTAGCCTGTACACAGACACCTTGTGCCATTCTGGCCTTTCAAACCAAAACTGTATAACTTCCTCTGTTAATACAGGAGGATGAATTCATATACTGGTCACAACTTTCACAGTAAAGAAATGCACTACATTTTGTTGTATAAAATGTAAACTGGCATTATTCCCTCCACAAGCCTACACTGAACACCTCCCTAGAAGCCAAAAGCCTAAACTGTTTTTGCCCAATTCAAACTTATTCCAATCTAACATATTACACCTATTATAAATACTGTAGTAAAAAAAATGATAAATAACTTTTGACACAAAAGGAGATAAAAAGTATTAAAAAAATATGGAACGCCTTAAATCAATCAGCTGTTACAATTTATTGTGATGAGTGAGCAATCAAACTAAAAGACTCAGGCTACAACTATATTTACATACTGACAGTCTGACAGCTCTTCCTGCAGGAGACAACAGAAGATAAAGATGGCAGGTTAAGACGAGCTATAAAAGTATGGACTAGAGCTTAACTGTATGGTCAGCTTGTTGAATAAATGGTGAAAAAGATAGGACTAGACACAAAAAGAAGCAAGATATTGAGAAATTGAGAAGAAACCAGTAATGGAAACATTTAAATATAAACTAAAATAAGATGACAACAAGTCAAACATTTTTAAATAACTACTAGATATATAGTGTAAACAAGTACCAACAATAACAAAACAGTTGTTCCAAAAGTCTGTAAACTGAGCTGAATGATTCAAGGCATTTCATTTCCAGGTTTTGTAGGGTGGTGACATACAACAAAATATTAAATAGAAAAACTATAATGGAGTTGACCGTACTCCCTCCAGTAGAGTATCACATATGTAACTTGGTACCTCTCACTCACTACTGAAGAGGGAGAGACGTATCACACGCTGAACAACACTCACATTATTTAAATAAACGCTTTACATTGGAAGTGTTAAGAGGGTCACAGTTTGTCTGCGTTTAGTCAATGAACTCCACAATTTGTAGCGAGTAAAAGTCTATTTTAAATTAAGGTTTTAGTATTTATTAATGACTGACTGACTGGACAGGATATCTGTAAAAGGACTTTATAATCTGCATTTTGCTTGCAAAGTAGAAAAAGTTATTAGTTTATGGCTGGTGGGGGATATTAATTACTGTTACATGGAATGTCAACTGCAAAATATTTAAAATAACAAATGCTGTATGCAGTGCAATCAAAATAAAAAAAAGGGAAGTCATTCTAATCTATGCTGCAAGAGTGCGTTCATTTCAGGTGTTTGCATAATGCCCAACAAATATAATAATTATGGAAAACAACACAATTTCACCAGAAACCATCCACCATTTGTAACTATGAAACCGGGATTTAAGTCGAGAAAATCTAAAATGCTCCAGGTAAATGCAACAGGCATTTTTGCCATATCTTCTGCTCGATCCATGCAGTGTCAACCCAAACAAATAACCACAGTTTAACACATTATAATATGCCAATTGTTATTAATAGTAATTCATGCTTGCTAATGATAACATGACTAAGCTTTAGGTACAATAAACAGAGTGCAACCAAGTTATATTTAATAACATAGTGTACCATTAATCTTGTGAAGTGACCAAGCATGAAATACAACAAAGTTAATTCAGTTATTCCACTCAAAATAATCAGCAAGTCACAATGGAAAAATCCTTCTAGTACCTACCAACTCTTGTCAAACACAAGCTACAATAGTGTAAGTACGTGTCAGCTCTCCTCCAATCAGGACTATTGCAGCCATGATGACAGTGCACATCCCCCAATGTTTTATGCTATAATTTAATACTCCTGAGTTGAGACGACTGGAGGATATTCACTGTCTGGAAGGCATGACTTTCTGGTGGATCTTTTTACACCTTAAAGGGATACGCATTTTTTGTTACCACACATCAAAAATCTTAGGTATGTTTTGACTGGAAAATATACAGTTTTCTAACTGCTTGAACAACCAACATTGACAAAGACGGGGATGAATGTTACATGGTTGTCAGTGACGGAAAGTACTGGGTACTGGCAAGCTACAGTAAAAATGAGTTACACATCTGTACACCAGATATAAACTGATCATCTGGTCTATGTATTGCACACCAAGGTTTGGTACGTATCACATTAACAGATGACCAGTCTATATAATCAGCACATACAAATCCTTTTCAGTTTAAGTGACCACATGTGCCTACAACGACCTGCTGATAAACATGCTCAAAGTATACCAGGACTTTCAGTAATATATGTGTATAGCCCACCAACAATAATAGACAAACTGTACACATGTAATTCACTAGTCCTAGTAACCAGTTACACTTGCATCATGTCCAGGTTCATCATGTTCAACCAACACACACACACACACACACACACACACACACACACACACACACACACACACACACACACACACACACACACACACACACACACACACACACACACACACACACACACACACACACACACACACACACACAGTAATGAGTTTTGGGAGAGATGACAGATCACACGGCAACCTATACAGGCAACAAGGTCAGGGTGTTAAGGTTAGGATGGGTTATGCATGGATGACATTTGGGTCTGATATTGGGTTAATGAGAGGGGACAATTCTGGATGGTGAACATGAGACTGGGCAGGAGCATAATAGGAACTATCCCCCCCAACCCAAGATAAGGCCAATATTATTAACCTGAAATCAGCCAGTGACCAACATTAGGGAAGGAGGGGACAGTGGACCCACAAATTTTAGTTTGCTTCAAAAGCAACTTCTTATTCTAGAGATTTGCAGAAGTCATTTAAAATATATTTATCACCGTTAAATGTGCCATTTTAAACTGTGACACAGCTGATGTGCCTTAAACGAAGGACTTGCAGTCCTCACTTGATCACTCGAGTGACTTCTTCCTCTGGAAGACAGCAAAATTATCAGACATTAAACCAGGGCATCTTGTGGGGTCTCATGTACTAAGGGCATGATAATATTGTTTTTCTAAGAATGGGTTCATTTTAAAGAGTGATATTGGTGGAAGTATTCAATAGATCAAGGAGAGATATAAATCCTTAACACAAGGAAAAAATATGGGGGTAAGGGGGCACTGGAGAGAAGATGACCTCAAGATCAGGATGAAGGGAGCAAACAACCTCAAGATGAGGGTATGTACACTGTTTTGAGGGGGCAATGATGATACAATAAGCCCTTAAAAGTCTAACATCATGGATCCACAGAAAATATAATCCTCAACTACACAATCACAACGTCAGAGTAAAGAACACGCAGGGGAGCAGTCAGACAAAGTGAGGGACCACGCGACCTATGCTACAACAGTAAAAATGCACCTTGGATATGTCCTGCTCTGCGTCGTCCAACCGTCCCAACACCAATGTTTGGTTGAGGTATCTTAATAATTACGTACTTCATTTTATATGCAGGAACTTTCATTTCATATCAGGCAAGATCGTTTAAGTAGACATTACTAGAATAATACACTAGTACTCATAGATAAAATAAGCCACATAGACAGTATTCCAATGATAATACAGAAATCAGTCGTTTATCTACACACTACACATAAAAACACTTTCCCATTTTACCCCATTCTTCTTACAAGCTATTGCCAAGGTTCTTGCCTGCCTTTTGTGGCTTGGACCCCCACTATCAGAAACACCAACCACTTTCTATAGGGCCCTAATTTTCAAATATAAGTTATGTAGTTAAACTAAGAAAATACTAGATTGGTAAGCACTGAGGCCACAGTTGCTGATATTAGTAGTCCCGGTAAGAGACAGGTACGTGAGTGGGGAGCCTAGCCACTGGCTGTAATTTGCTTCTGTGTGCGAGATGACTCAGGAGGGACGAACAGATTACATACCCGATACACATTTGTTCATTTCACATTGCACTCTGGCAACTTTAGTTGTCTTTCACTTTTCACTTTACCACAGTTTATCTAAAGTACCACTTGAATATATGTTTTCTCTCATTTTTAAGTCTCAAAGGTATCACACAATCAGTTAAGTCTTGTAGTGTACACCTGTGTCCCCTGAGCAAATCTCCTCACCACTGATATGATCGTGCCTGTTACTTGCAGCCATGATTGCATGTGGCACTGTAAGCTAGACAAGTTTGTGACAGTCATGTTGCCACCAGCACATACCAAACACTTACAACACTGACATAGGATCTCCTTAATGGAGTTGAAGATAGCAACAATGGCCTGGTGATACCAACTTGGCACTACCAATAAGGTAGGTGTTGATATTGTTGCCTCTTGAGACTATAGTTGATATGCCCCATACAGCCGCCATTTACCGCTAAAAGAAAGGTTGGGCATTGCACTAAAGGAGCGGGCAGGGCGGTCAGGGGAGGGCTGGCACTAGGGTGTCCCTGCCAGGCAGACTGTGACTCACAGCCCAGCAGCCCTAAGCACTGACGCCCAGCAGATAGCTACTCTGATTTTGTCGAAGCAGTTTCAGGAGGCGAAGCTGGAGGATAACTGTGAGTGACCAAGGAAAGCGGCGATGGAAGGGGGCCCCCAGGAGAAAGTGGAGGCGCCCCCAAGCTGGTGAGAGTCAGGGCTGATGAAATTGGCGGCCCAGAAAACATATTGGTGCTGGTCAAACTCAGTGGTGGACTGATCATCCCACTCGATGGTGGGTTTATTCGTTTCTCCTTCTGACGTCTGTGGGAGAAATATTTTGTTAGTAATCGTTCATTCATTTATCTATATCTAAATCATCTTATCATATATCAAAAAATTTCACTATGAATATACAGTATAAATATATAACAAAATAAATCTAAATCTACTAAAAGGTTGAAGGCTTGATAGTGTTAAGATTCTACTAAAGGATCACTTCAAGCAGCTGAGCTTAATTGCTCAAGGTTATCATAATTTATCAAACTTAACTTACCACTATCATCACCCATAACCTGCAACTGCAAACCAGAAAAATAATACGTACTTACCTGTTACAGAACCAGACCCTGACTACCTCTTTTTCCATTGAGAGGTTATCTGCAAGCATTGAGATCTCCTCTGAGGTGGGCTTAGGGTTCTGGATGAAGGCTCGCTCAAGAGCGACACGTACACTAGTTTCAATAGAGGTACGCTTCTTTCGTCGACGACCAACTGCATCAGGTGATGAAAGGGAGTTGCTGACAGTTGTTGGATCAGAAATAGTCTTGTCAGCATCTGTTAGCCACTTCTGAAGCAGTGGTTTCAGTTTACACATATTCTTGAAGGAGAGGTTTAGTGCCTCAAAGCGGCTGATGGTGGTTTGAGAGAAGTCATTGCCATACAATTTGCCCATAGCCAATCCTACATCACCCTGGGTAAAACCTAGTTTGATGCGTCGTTGTTTAAAGGTTTTAGCAAATTGTTCCAATTCCTCCAAATCTGTTGGCTCTTCTGGGAGTGGTTCCCAGTGGCGAGGTGGTGGTGGTGGTGAATGGGGCATTGGAGGCCGAGCCATGTGACCATGTGGTGGCAAGTGAGGTGCCAGTGGTGAACCCGAGATATGCGAAGGCTCAAGAGGTGGTGGCCGAAGTGGGGGCTCACGAATATCTCTCATATCTCGCATTGGTACTTCCCTCAGGTCTCTAATGTCTCGCAAATCACGTATATCTCTCAAGTCTCTTATATCTCTTGGAGGTTGCTGGTGCTGGTGCTGCTGTTGCTGTTGTTGATGCTGCTGTTGTTGATGTTGCTGGTGAGCCTTCTGAAGCTGCTGGAGTTGCTGAGCAGCTTGTGCTACGGCATGTTGCACATTACGGACCTGTGCTGCTTGAGAGGGTGCCTGGGACACTGGTGGCTGTAGCCCTTGCATACCTGCAATCCCTGGAGATGCTAAGAGGCCTTGCTGCAGTAAATTTTGTAAATACTGCAACTGCTGCAATGTATAAAGTAGTTTATTAATAAAACTATATATAGATTACATATTTTGGGTTTGATTTTAGCATCATAAACAATGAAACTTAAAGGGCATTTACAATATGTTCTTCATTTTACCTCACAGAAAATACATATTCCACTTAAAATGAGTGACATATTGTACTCATTTACCTGACTCTGAAGGAAAAGTTGAGCCTGAGGTGGCAATTGTGATGCTGCACTGGGCTGTGAGAATAACATAAATTGCTGCAATTGCTGCTGTATCTGTTGCTGCTGTTGTGACAGAGTCTGCTGGAGAGCCTGTAACAGAATACATATGTCCAAAAATTAAGATCAATTAATATTAATTATATACATTTGATTACATGACAGCAACCTATAAGTCTCACTGGGCTGGTAAAATTACCTGAATTTACCTGAGGGCCATCATCTCCAGTGGCCTTGATGGTTTGTTAAATGTCCTCATATTGTTCCTAAGGATTTTTTCCAGCTAAATTTTAATTGAAGTACAGTACTGTATTGTCTTGGCATTTAAGGCTTTGGCAGATAGGCAATTCCATAGGTTAATTATCCTATGGGTGAAAAAGCATCTTCTGTTTTTTGTTCTCCATTGTGGTTTTGTGAACTGTTATTTCTTGTTTGTGTTACTTTGGACTTTTTAAAGTGGTAGTTTGGATCCCAACCATTCGATATGAGTTAACTTACTAATGGGATGATTTTTTTTTTAGCTCTGTGTTGAGCTTTCTCCAAAGCAGGTACAGTATGTCCTTTTGAAGGTCAGATTTCCATGATTGGATACAGCAGCCCAGTCATCAGACTGATCTTTTTGGAATCCCACTTGTTTTGCCCCTCCAGCTCAACACCTCTCTATGACACTTTGTTTTCTGTCTGTTAGGTATAGCCTTACCCAGTTCAGTATTTTCCCAATTAACCCACCTTGAACACTACCTTTTATGAGGGACAATATTTAATGCTTTCTAAAAGTTTTGAAAAATTGTTGCCCATCCATTCTAAAGTTCATCCTCTCCAGACGTGCCATTATTCTCATCCTGATTATTCTTTCAGTTAACAAGAAAGGCATGTTAGTGATATCAAAACTTCATTGATCTTTCCCACATTTTTGGATATTCAGGTTTTCAGATTTTTATTTCTAAAATACTATGAGTGAAAAAGCATCTCCTGCTTTCAGTCTTACACTCTGGTTAGTTGAGCTTGAAGCTGTTGCCCCTTATATTAAATCGTTGGTTGATTAATCGTTGCCCCTGGTTGATCAGCCCGGCAACCAGGAGGCCTGGTCGACGACCGGGCCGCGGGGACGCTAAGCCCCGGAAGCACCTCAAGGTAACCTCAAGTTATATGCATTACATTTGACTTTTTAATGAAGTGGTCTGGATTAATATCCTCCAACTTGTTCAGTATTTTATAGGTCTTGATGAGATCAGCCCCGTAATGTCTGGTTTGCAGTGCTTTTAGACATAAAGCCCTCAACTTTTTTTTGTGTGTGTTGTATGTTAAAATTGAAACTAAGTCTGTTATCAATATTCAGATCTAAGAATTTTCCTAATTTTTTTATTCTCAATTTGAATGCTAATTCTGAGAGGGTCACTTTTGAGTTTTCACATTACAGTACTTGAACTTTTTTATTTAAGTTTGTCAGAGAAAGCTTGTAATTTAAGTGATTTGTTGAAAACCACAATGAAATGGCTGGTACGAGAACATATGCAGTTTATTTTGTAACTCTTGGCTGGTATTTTAAAAAATCAAATTTCTTTGGGTTTAAATAAGCTTGTTGTGGAACACCAAAAATATATTTGTTTATCATGTGATGCCCATGAGCTATATCCCTCTAGGAAGCACTAAAAGTAAAAATTTGTATTACGGTGCAATGTATTATTAATGTAGAGTGCACTTCAGAGGATGTGAAGATACTTATACATGTTAAATTGATACTTAACATGTATAAGGATTTCAGAAAGGAATATTAGTGATTTATGTTGAGTAATTCGGGGTCAAAGGTAGTTTTGAGTTGTAAATCCCCAGGCACAGATACCGTAGGCAAGATATGGATAGATGAGCGAATAATAGTGTTTACCAAGGTAGGGAGAGGTATGAAGAATCTGGAGAGAATGCATATTAGTTTTGAAACTTTTTGTTATTTTTTGTATATGGTAATGGAAGTTCAGCTTGCTGTCAATATTAATATCATGGAATTTGCCATCTACTTTGAACATTATTTGGGAATTGTTAATTTTTAAGTTAATTTGATTGGTGGACTTATTTCCAAAAATATGTAAAATGTTTTGACAATATTATGGATTGATTTGCCAGCAGTCAGCCACTAATGGACTATTTTTGAGTTCAGTATTCACTGTGTCCTTTGGAATAAGTGGGTTAGAATGTGAGAAAATGACAGTTGAGTCATCAGCAAATAGGACTGGCTTGAAGTGTTGAGTGAAAAGAATTAGAAAGATCATTGATATAAATGAGAAAGAGGAGTGAACCAAGAACACTACCCTGTGGGGAGACCTATCATCATTCACAGAAACAAACTGGAGCCTGTCACTGTAGTAAAATTGCAAAGTACTTGATTGTTGAGTGGAAAGAATTAGAAAGATCATTGATGTAAATGAGAAAGAAGAGTGAACCAAGAACACTACCCTGTGGGGAGACCTATCATCATTCACAGAAACAAACTGGAGCCTGTCACTGCAGAAAGATTGCAAAGTACTGTACTTAAAGTAGTGACTGATGTATACAGTACATTAATAATCCACAGCAATGTGGTGGGTCATGTATGTATAATTAATATTTATCATATATAAAACTAGTGAGTGAGATGTGCATATGTGGTGGATGTTGGAGGGTGGTGAAGGAATGGGAAAAAGAAATGTGGGTTGGATAGTGGTTGTGGGAAGGAATTGTGGTGGAGAAAGGGGAAGGAAGAAGAAGAATAAGAATGAGGGAGTGAATGGAGAAAAATAGTGCCTCAGTGAATATTGTCATGACAGTATTAATTATTTGTAATCTTCTGCACTATGTACAGTATTTGTGCACATATGAAATATATGCAAAGTGTGTGTATTTACTGCACTTGATTAGTGGTTTACTAACAAATATAAAATATCCACACACATAATTTATATTTTAATCATGTCTATATGTATTTTTATACAATATTATTAATATAAACAAACTCTATATAAACTCTCACCACATGGTCAGAAGGCTGACAAATAATTATGGTTAATTATTTAGTACCAAGTAAAACCGATAAAAATTTTGCAGTGATTAAGTACTGTAATGAGATATTCACAAAGAGCAATAAACAATATCTTGAAAATAGTGCACTTATGATCACATGTCAAAAAAGCTAGTGAAGAATGTGAAAAATTAAATGTGAATTTGTTTACCTTTTCACATTGATGAAAAATTTGAAAAATTAAATGTGAATTTTGTTCACCTTTTCACATTGAAGAAAAATGTGAAATTATATAGCATGTTATAAGACAGATGTTGATTTGTTTTAAGACAGATGCTTATTAGCTTATTTATTTTGGTGAAGCTATGTCTATTTCTTTTAGTGAAGCTATGCTTATTTGCTCTCCCTATTTTGTTAAGGTTCCCCTTCCCAAGAATATGCTGAAGTGATTGTAAGAACCCCCAAAGCGATGTATATTTCTTTGATATATATACAGCCTTCAAAACATAAACATGTTTACTATGACTAGAGCTAACAAACATATTGTCCAGTTACTTTCAAATAAAGCTAAAAAATTTAAAATTTAGCTTCTTTTGTGGCATTAATGAAAACAAATTATGAACATTCTGGGTTGAGGCCTTTTAAGTCTGCCACCTGTGTTGCTTTCCATGTATTGAATGCCAAACAACTTACGTCTCCAAGTATTGAATTGCAAAATATTTCCTCAATTCCATAAGTAATGGCTACAGGGGAGTTACCTATTTCCCAACCAACTAATCCATTTCCCATCTTGTTCAATAATAATTGCTTGCATCTTCTTAATAATATTAGAGCTGTATAATTAAAAGTAGATTATATACTTCAAATATAGGGCAATGAATGGGGAGGAGCAGACCTGTAGCTCTTGAGGGTTGAGTGACCCAAGACTTGGCAGTGGCGATGACACAGGTAGTTGGTTGGCAGCGGCGGCGGCGGCTGCCAACTGGTTCTGCATCAGAAGTCCAGGACCTTGGGCTCCGAGTGCCATCAGCTGGGCGCACCAAAAATATCCAAGTTTATTAGTATAACATAATTAATGGAAATGAGAATGATAAGTGATGCAAAATCTTTGTATAGTACAGTATACTGAATATTAGACATTATGAGCCGTTAGCTTCATATTTCGATATAATGGGGGCAGAATGTGTGTGTGTGTGTGAGAGAGAGAGAGAGAGAGAGAGAGAGAGAGAGAGAGAGAGAGAGAGAGAGAGAGAGAGAGAGAGAGAGAGAGAGAGAGAGAGAGAGAGAGAGAGAGAGAGAGAGAGAGAGAGAGAGAGAGAGAGAGAGAGAGAGAGAGAGAGAGAGAGAGAGAGAGAGAGAGAGAGAGAGAGAGAGAGAGAGAGAGAGAGAGAGAGAGAGAGAGAGAGAGAGAGAGAGAGAGAGAGAGAGAGAGAGAGAGAAAGAGAGAGAGAGAGAGAGAGAGAGAGAGAGAGAGAGAGAGAGAGAGAGAGAGAGAGAGAGAGAGAGAGAGAGAGAGAGAGAGAGAGAGAGAGAGAGAGAGAGAGAGAAAGAGAGAGAGAGAAAGAGATTGAAAGAGAAAGAGATTGAAAGAGAAAGAGATTGAAAGAGAGAGAGATTGAAAGAGAGAGAGATTGAAAGAGAGAGAGATTGAAAGAGAGAGAGATTGAAAGAGAGAGAGATTGAAAGAGAGAGAGAGAGAGAGAGAGAGAGAGAGAGAGAGAGAGAGAGAGAGATTGAGAGAGCTTGAGAGAGAAAGAGATTTACTGACCTGGTTGATGGAGAGTGAGCCAGCTTGGATGGCAGCGAGGGCAGCCTGAACGGAGTGGGCCGCGGCAGGAGCGGTGGTGGGCGAGGTAGCGCTCGTGATGGGCGTGTGGGTGACCGTGGGCGTGGGAGATGGGCACGGGAGGGCGGCCGAGGTGTGTGGAGGCATCATGGGAGGTGGTGACGGTGTTGGGGAGCGGCCGCCATTACTGGAGCGGCTGGTCAGGTCACGAGCCTAGTGGATGAAGGGGGGAGTTCCGCGTTAAACTTGCAGCCTACATTATCCTTACTAGGCTAACCCACTTCTTTAACGTCATTGCATGGCATTATATTGCAAGCTCACACTTCTTTATGCTTTAGGTATATAAGGTCCACAAGACACCACACTAGCCTGTCACTCTGAAGTGACAAGAAGTGACAGAAGTGACAAGCCCAGTGTGATCTGTTCGGAACATGGGGCCCCAATACCATCTCCCCGTGTTAAATATTTGTTCTATGTTCTTTAGCTAACACCTTAACCACCGAAGAAGCCTCGCCACACTGATTTTAAAATTCTTGACTTACACATATGCAGACATATATATATGTACATATATTTACTTATATATGTAAATATATATGTTGTAACTATATAACCAGAACGCACTACTTAGTATGCAAGGGCTTATTTGCCTAACAAGCCGAGTTTTCCCGAAATTATACATTTTCTAATTTGTGTCCTTATGGAATGATTAAGCTTTCCAATATTTTACATGATTTTTTTGTTTAACCCAACGTAGAAATATGACCAACCCAACATACATGTATGTTGTACCTAATAGCCACAATATATTATATACTGTACCTATTTAATATAACACATTTACGCAAGTGCTTCTACGTCAGTATATATATTCACACATGTCACATTAATTATGTATATTAATGTGTGTATATTAATTAATTACACACATTATATTTCAAGTTATTTGTAAAATTTTGCATAATTTAGAATAAAAACTTAAATCACCGTCTTTAAATTATTTATTACAAAAGTGATCATATAAATCAAGAGCTACTGTAATTAGTAATGATATATATACATATAAATGAGAAGAGTATTGAGTTGAGTGGGTAGAAGAGAGCAAGCCACCTACCAGGTTGATGACGGGGTGGAAGTGTCTGGGAGTGGGCGGGAGCTGCATCTGGGCGTGGTGCGGGACGTGGCTCTGCACCAGGCTGATGGGCGTGGGCGTGCGGGGGCGCGCAGTGGGCGTGGGCACGTCGGAGGAGGAGGTGGGCGGGGTGGTGCCATCCATGGAGTCGTCGAGGGTGTGGTCGTGGACGCCATCGCTGCCGCAGTCGCTGACGGCGTCTTCCCTCTCGCACCCGTTGACGCTGCTGCCCTCTGGCGGACACACCCCCCAGTTA